CCATCTGGGCAATAATTGGGGAATACTGTTTCTTCTAGGGAGCTTTTCAACTTCCCAGGCTACTCTACAGACCAGAGAGGTCCTGGTGGTTTCCCACTCAAACACTAACCCTGTTTAGCTGTTTCAAGCTCAACCAGGATCAGCTAGCTCAGTGTTTCTCAACCTTGGCAACTTTAAGATGTGTGGACTTCAACTCCCAGAATTCCTCAGCCAGCCATGCTGGCTGGGAAATTTTGGGAGTTGAAGTCCATGGGTCTTAAAGTTGCCAAGGTTGAGAAACACTGAGCTAGCTGATCCTGGTTGAGCTTGAAACAGCTAAACAGGGTTAGTGTTTGAGTGGGAAACCACCAGGACCTCTCTGGTCTGTAGAGTAGCCTGGGAAGTTGAAAAGCTCCCTAGAAGAAACAGTATTCCCCAATTATTGCCCAGATGGTTCCATGCCTGTGCCTATGAGGCCAGCCAGAGTTGAGTTTGTCTGGAGGAAGTCTTCACCTATAAGATGCTTTTAGAAAGTTTGAATGAGAAATGCCCTTATTAATCCAATGAAGCCAATTCTCTAGATCTAAAAGGGAGCTTATTGGGAGGAAAAACAAGGGCTGGCAGGAATCACCTAGATGGAATTTCAAATGGAATAAATCCATTCATTCCAGCTAACTCAATGTCTTCCTTTTTGCCACATTTTCAGTACTTGTTTCAGAGAGGTTGGTGGGAGAGAGAATCTGGGCCTCCTGCTTGGATGTTGTTAAGCAGATCCTCCTTGCTTCCCCTTTTCTTGAGCATTGCCCTCTGCTTTTTGGAGGATAGCTGTCTTAAAATACCTTTATTTGCAGCCATCGGTTTTAGCAGGGTTGTTGTTCTTGTGCCAAGTCAGTTTCGACTCCTGGCAACTGCCTGGACTAGTCCCTGCAGTTTTCTTGACAAAGGGTCCCGTCCCCCCGCCCCACTCAGAAGTGGTTTGTCCTTGCCTCCTCCTCCTTCCTAGGGCTGAGGGAGAGGGGCTGGCCCAAGGTCACCCAACTGGCATCGTGCCTAAGGCAGGACTAGAACTCAAAGTCTCCTGGCTTCTGGCCTGGTGCCTTCACCATTACAGACCAACTGCTACTTTGCCCAGTCAAGCAAAAAGCTCCATCTCTGATGTCATGAGTTTAGCCAACCAGTCAAAATATTATCTGGTACTTAAGCCCACCTCCCTTGTGACTGTTGGTTGACCGATAAAGGAGCTGACTTGTTTTTACTAGTGATTGAATAAAGGATTATATAGAGGTAGCTGGAAAACAAAAGATGAGTTCTGTCTTTCCACACCTTCGTCATGGGGTTGACTTACCAGATGCTTTGATGGGCACTGTACCATATCAGAAAATAGAGGTTTCTCATAAGCTTGCTTGTGACATGGGTGCCACAAGATGGTTCTTGGCAGGGGTGGGGAAGGGTGGGGGTGAAGAGCAGGTTAAACATGGTTTAAATAAACAAACCGTTTACAGCTACCAGATGGTGGAAATTTAGCTGGTGAAGCTTTTTCCATTGCAATATCATTACGTTAGGAAAAACAGTTACTGAACGTTTGCGTGTTATGCGGTGATAAAAACCCTGGGGCTTTGGGAGGAAAAACATTCTCATGAATGCCTCTTGACCTTTCTTGTGAAGCAGCTTTCCCCAGGTCAGGATTATTTGCTTTGAAGAAGCAAAAGCCTGTCCTGTAGTTCAGGAATAGGTTATGAAATACCCATTGGTGTTTTTCTGAATAGCTGCCAGATTGTCTGCAGTAGCTGGATATTTTTTAAAATCTTATTTTCAGTGAAATAAAGGAAAACACCCATTGCAAATAAGCACCAACTATTTATTTATGATTTATATTCAGCCTTTTGTACTGGAGCCCAAGGCGGCATACAAAGTGCCCCCTCCTTCTGTTTTTCCTCCACAACAACAACTCTGTAAGGTAGGCTGGGCTGAGAGAGAATGGGTGGCCCAAAGTCACCCAGGGGGTTTCTGAGAATGGACTAGAATGTGGATCTCCCCCGCTGTCATCCAGCACCTTAAGCATTATACCACACTGGCTGTCATTTTCAGGTAAATCTTTACAAAGATGTCTGGGAATTCTTTTCACATGCTTAGAAAATTAAAAATGGTTGGATGGCTGCCTGCCCACAGTGTTTTAATTGGGAGTGTGTTGGTACCAATAAAAAAGACAAAATGAAGCTGAGTTGGTAGCATTCATGGAGACTAGGGGAGGTTGTAGAGAGCAACATCACAATTTACTTCCAGCTAAATGGATTTTTCTCATTGCCCCTGGCCAAGTCCACTATGATAGGTGTTTTGTGAGAGTGCTTACAACACCCCTTCAGAGTTCCAAATGGGTATCCAGTGGCTGAAAATGTTTGCCTGTCCTGCCATGTCCTGCCATTCATGTGGTAGGAATCCATGCGTGGCATGAGGGCAGAGTTTTAATACCATCTGGAATACATTCTAGCCTGATGCCCGTAGAAGTTGAGCTTCCTGATCCACATTTCTGGAGGCCATTAGGCTGGGAAGACTGGTCTGTTTCTGGTTTCAGTTTTTAAAATTCTGACTACTTTTAGCACAGGATCAAACTCACCAATCCCCCCTCTGTCTCTTCTCTGCTTTCCACAGCGTATCTCTCAAGTCTGAGATTAAGAAGTTGATCTACATGCAGGTGGCATTGTGGCTCTTGGTGGCAGCACAAATGTGTGTAGCTCACTTCAAACTTCTACCCCATGACAAGGTGGCCATGCCTTACCAGTGGGAGTACCCATACTTGCTCAGTATCATCCCCTCACTCTTTGGCCTCTTCTCCTTTCCCCGAAACAACATCAGCTACCTGGTGATTTCCATGATCAGCACTGGCCTCTTCTCGGTGGCGCCTCTCATCTACGGCAGCATGGAGATGTTCCCGATGGCTCAGCAGCTCTACCGCCATGGCAAAGCCTACCGCTTCATCTTTGGTTTCTCTGCTGTCTCTGTCATGTATTTGTTGGTAGTGGTGGCAGTGCAAGTTCACGGCTGGCAACTTTATTACAGCAAAAAGCTATTGGACTCCTGGTTTACCAGCACTCAGGAGAAAAAGAAGAAGTGAACAAGGGGTTGGGAGTTGCATGCATCAACACTCTCTTGGATCGAGGGGTGGGAAAGAGGGAGAGACCTCCTTAAGGAGAGGTAGATGGTGCTCTTGGGTTTCTTTCTCATCCTTACTGAGCAAATGGGAGATCCAGGGGTTCCAGCTGAGCTGAATGAACACTGAACCACGTTTGGTTGTTTTCCAGCTTGTGTGGCCTAAGACTGGGAGTTGTAGGCTTGGGCAGTCCTGTCTTGGAAGGGATTTAGGGAACCCTCCTTCCAAAGGACAGGCAACTGATACCCTTTAGAGAGATGCTTTCCTCACTTGGCTTAGGCAGAGGAGACTCGCTGGAGTCTCCTGATGGTTTGAGCAAACCAATATTGAGCTATGCCACATGCACTTTAGAAGATTCACACTTTGCACCATCTTGAATTACACTGTGAACAATTGGATCCTAGTAGGAATAGGAAAGCAGCACACAACAAGGCCAGGACCCCCTCCCTCCCTCCCATCCATCCATCCATCCATCCATCCATCCATCCATCCATCCATCCTAGAACTCCCACTCCAGAATGTTATAGGGCCCAACCCTGTCAAGAGATGTTTGTTGTGTGTGGTCATGCTCCCAGGAGTAGCTCCTTTTCCTTACCCTGGTGGTAAGGGCTCCCCCCCCCTTTTTACTCTTTCTCCAGCTGTACCAACAGGGGACTGGTACATGCCAAGTGCTGAAACTCGCTTTGCTGGACAGCCCCTCTGAGCTTGATTTGCTTCCTTACCCCATAGCCCATCCACCCTTTTGGAGTCCATCCTCATTCCAGGGTCTGTCTGCCTTTTCTACAAGCTGTCTAGGTGTTCCAGGAATGGCTGCTGGCCATCTCTGCTCTCATGCTTGTGAACCAAATAAAGTGCTATCTTAAAGTCTTGCTCCTGGGTTTTTTGTGGACTAGAAGTGGGTGGGTGGGTGGGGCAGACGACAGCAGTTATATATATACAGTATGGCTTTCTTCCACTCTTGCTTCCTAGCAGATGGTGCCTGTCATTCATACTGGCAGTAGCCACTGGCCATCAAGACCAATAGCCAGCAATAGCCCAAATGTTTATGAATTTGCCCCCATAGTATTAGGACAGAAAGCCCTTTTTCTGTTGAGAGCTACAGGTGACCTGATGGGCAGTGCAATGGAAAAGGCTAAAGTCAAATTTAAGCAGATTCTTCCCCTTCCCCCCTCCTTCTCTCCTCTTCCTGCTCATCACATTGCCAGGGAAGGAACAGATCTTGAGGTGTATCTCAACACATGTTGTTTAAAAACATACCATACACAAATATACACAGTTTTTCTTGATGGTGGCCACCAGATTTGTAGAGATTTTATTGCCTCTCCAGAGGAAGGAACAGCAGAACCATCCTGACTGATTTTACTTACCTTGGGGGGGGGGGACAAGGAGGAGGAAGAGTGTCTTGAAGAAGCTTAAAATTGCTGATTTTTCTTTTTGACTTCTGACAAACACATTTACCTGAAGGAAAGGGGTAGTGTAAATTTCAGGCCATCTAAGGTTTGATAAGATTACCACTTCAGTGGGTCAACCCATCCGTAGGTTTACAGAGTGATCTCTTAATGCACTTGATTTTTCTTCTGTGAAACGATGTGTTTTTGACAATGTTTAATACCAACAGTATTAAAAAGCCTATGAAAATCCTGCCCTGAGGAAGTCACATAATCACTGAGTCTTTTTATGGTAATGGAGTACAAATCAATGCATTATGAATTTTTTCTGAGGAGATGAGTAACCATTTATAAGAGACAACAATTACAGGATTTAAAAAAAATACATTTATGTGCTTTGGTTCAGTTTGGGATGAGGTCAAGAAGTTAGACAGGATTTACTAGAAAGCTTTAAAAGAGGACTCAGCATGGGCTGTATTGTGCAGGGTATCCGAAGGTAGCAGAATGAGAAGGACAAAGCTTCCAGGGAGAATAGGAAATCTGGGTTTGCTTGTTTGTAGCTTAGTGCAATGTGCAAACCTAGCAAATCAAATCATGGTTTATAAAATATTAGGAAGGTAAACTAAATTCCGTTCTGTTCTCAGTGTTATGCTCTTTAAAGTGGGCCATATTGTGACTTTCTGCTTGTTTACTTCTTTCTGCTTTATTTTTCCAAAAAAAATGGAGGCTGCTCAGCCATTCTACTATAAGACATCAATCCTGCAAAAAGCTTGATTAGCTCCCTGTTTAACAAGTACTGTACATCTGAAGTGCACGATAGGATGAAATCTCCTAGGTCATCTACTTTGAACTGCTTGAAGTAGGACACCCTGAACTAGAGTAACCAAATAAAGACCTCTGTGGAAGAAAAGCCTGCCAGCCCCCCGGCCATTAAGAGGTCAAAAGGTTTTCTTGCCTCCTTTTTCTTCCTAGGGCTGAGAGAGAGGGACTGGCCCAAAGTCACCAAGCCGGCTTTCGTGCCCAAACCAGGACTAGAACTCACGGTCTCCCGGTTTTTAGCCTGGTGCCTTGACCACTACACCAAATTGACTGTTTAGTTTGTGAAAATCAGCCAAGGCCAGCTAGGTGCAGCTACTTAGCTAGCAACTGTTTTAAATGTGGATTGGAAAAAAAAAATCACAGGGCAATGGTTTACCACTGGCAGATTTCTGAAAACCGATGGTTGTTATGATAAGCTGAGAAATTTGTGGTACGTGATATACACGGGATGCTTATTCCTGGAATGTTGTACTATGATGCTAGGAAAGTGGCAGACATTTGCAACGAGAAAAGCCACATTTTTTTTCTACTGAAATAATTTGAGATGACCTGAGAAAAATTGCAGGCAAATTAAGCAATGTTTTTTTCTGATTTTGGCTGGGGCCAGGATGTAATGAGTATGCTCCAGCTGGCTCTTATTCTTTGATGTTGTTTCTGATGCCTAAGTTACTTCGCGCCACCCACCCTTTCCAGAAGAGACAGCTTTGATGCATACTTTTGGGTACTGTGGTTACAGTATATCTGTTCACGATTACTTTCCGTTCTTGAAACTGATCATTGTTGCTCCTGCTCTACTTGCCTGTTTTCTCAGTTACTTGCATGTGAAGAAAAACTCTATTTTATGCTCTGTTCCATACCATGAATTCTTTCCTGCATCCACAGTTGAAAACACAAATGTATTTGAACTGGAAGAAACTTCTCACCAATACACTGTAGCAAAATTGCTGTTTGTACTTTGGGGGACACATCTTCTGCCCCCCTCCCACTCCTCCCCCCGCCCGGTGCTGTGAAATACAATTAAAAACTTCACTCTCAACAATTCTAGTTATCTGCAATATTACTGCAAGCACCAAAAAAAAAAAAGAGGATTAAATAAGCCAGTTACAGTATAAGCAGGAACTTATTCCAACCTTGGTTTTCTAAAGTATGTTTACACATATGTTTAATCACCATGTGGTATCCTTCACAGTGAGCACACACGGACAAAAAGCACAGAAGTCTCCCTTAAACTGGAAGTGTTTTTTGTTTCCAAAAACGAATAGGAAGCCAAAGTATTTCCATTGCCAATAAACTTATCTATCTGCACGAAGCAATTGCAAACAGGAATGAGATGAATGTACAGATCTTAAGCGCTCTTACATGACAAAGGAGGCCTCTCACCCATTGCCCTTACACGATCTGGGTGGGCAAATATTGGCATTTTAAAAATCAGGAGAGGGAGGGTGCAGATTTCATTATGCCTTCTGTACAATCACCTCTGCATACATTAGTTCCATAATTTAAAAGTGCTGATGATTAATTTTTTTAGTAATGACTTTTTTATATGTTTATTGTTTTTATAACTTTGTTGTAAAAGGGTGGGAGTCACTTTTCATGAGATGGGCAGCCATATAAATTTGACACATAAATATAAAAACAAAAAAATATAAATAAATAAATTCCCCAACAATTTACTTATTCATTTAAACTAGGAATAGGAATGATTGCCTCTTTACCTTTTGGATGGATTATGTACCATCAAGTAAGTGCTGGCTCCTAGGGACCACATAGATAGATTTTCTCCATCATGATCTGTCTTTAACCTGTTCTTTCAAGTCTCCCAATGGTGCACCCATCGCCACTGTAACTGAGTCCATCCCCCTTGCTGCTGGTCGTCCTCTTCTTCTCTTTCCTTCCACCTTTCCCAACATTAGAGCCTTTTCCAGAGAGCTGGGTCTTCGCATCATGTGTCCAAAGTAGAAACATTTGAGCCTGGTCATTTGTTTCTCAAGTGAGAACTCTGGGTTGGTTGGTTTGATGATCCATCGGTTTGTTTTCTTGCCTGTCCAGGGTATTCTCAGGAGTCTTCTCCAACACCAAAGTTCAAAGGCGTCAACACTCTTCCTATCCTGCTCCAGGACTAGAGAGGGTGTTAGTAATAATGTCATGGGAGATTGGAATATAATGTCTGAAATGGGTGCCTTAAGCCTTGCAGAAACAAAGCCCTTATTTTTTTCCCTCAATTCTGTCAACATAGAAAAAAACTAGTCTGACAAGTTTAGGATGCTAGGATTTTTAAAAGGTGAAAGGAGTGGGCACCATTTTGCCTCTGAACCCTTAAAATGCAAAAAAGAGCCAATATATTTGTCCATTTCCAGGGTGGTCTGCGGGCTACAAATTGGGAGTTAGAGGACTGTAGGTTGGAATCTCTGTGGTTCAGAATACACATAATGATGGGAAACACGTGACCCTTAGTTGGACTTTAATCAGTTTAGCTAAGAATAACCCATTTTCAGGGATTATGAGAAAATGGAGTGCATTGCCCCTGCAACATCAGATCTCAGTTAGCTGCTGGAAAATTAAGTTAGGGCAGTGTTTCTCAACCTTGGCAACTTTAAGATGTGTGTACTTCAACTCCCAGAATCCTTAAATCCATCTTAAAGTTGCCATGGTTGAGAAACACTGACTTAGGGGAATTATCAGAAAGGGAGAACAGAAATGCAGAGAATAAAAACACATATCTACCAGCAAGGGATGCTAGAAGGACTAGAGAAAATGAAAATCCAAGTCTGTAGCACTACAGGAGAATGAGAGAGGTTTGAAATTTGATGGGCTATAAATTATTAACTTTCCTTCCTGGTCACTCAGAAATGGACTTTTTCTGGATTACAATAATTTTATCAGAATTTTTCACCTCGTTCCTCTGATTTTTGGTCAGAGCCCAATAGCCGGGTTTTTGTTTTACATTAAAAACCTACGAGAAAGGAACCCATTTGCACAGAATCAAGGGCCAAACGTGTTCACTCAATTCTCCAAAATCACATCCCATTGTGCCTCTGAAAAGCAGTACAGTGTAGGGGTTAGAGTGTTGGACTCAAATCAGGGAGAACCAGCATCAGGTTCATTCACCGTTTTTCACGTTGGCTGGGAACAGCAAGAGTTCTAGTTTAGCAGCGTTTCGAGAGCCTTACATTGGAGGACCAGATGAGCAAGCAATCTGAGCTGATATAAAACAACTTTCATGCCCCTGAACGGGGCAGATTTAGTTATTATTTTCATTCCCAGAGTTGCTTGGAAATAGTGAGATGGGCAGCTAATAAATTGTGTGAATGAATGAATGAATGAATGAATGAATGAATGAATGAATGAATGAATGATACAAGCAGACCCACAAATACTGAATATGAACATTATGGTAGCGCCCATAAAAGGGAGGGAGATGCTACTTGGGTTAGCACATTACTAACTTGTAAAATAGATGGTTCGCACAAGAGGGAGCCCTTGATTGATTTTTATTTTTATTTTTTTAAAGCTTCTTATGGCTAGCAAGTACAAGTTAGTACTCTGGCAAAAGACCAGACACAGATTATATGCAGCAAATGGCTTTCATTCTGCCAGGACGTGAACAGCAATGGATGGCAGTGGGAGGAGGGAGCGGGAGGAGAGCGAAGACTGAAA